ATCAAAAAATATAGTTGGTGTCAAATTGGGCCTCAACTATATTTTTTGGTTGTTCCAACACGAAGATAGTAGAAGTAGCATGCATATAAGATAATCACTAAAATTATAGTACAATTAACTAAAAAATAGTTATCTTGACCATAATTTATAGTAATTATTTCTCTACATGATTATAGTTGTAAATACCAAACATTTTTCTCTCAGTGTGTATGCGGATTTCCGCAAATTTCCGCCGAGTTCTCATCGCAACATCGCGTGAAAATCCGACGAATTTCTTCCCTCGGGCGATCACGGTGAGACAACTCGAACGAAGTGTCCAAAGTGTCGCGGTACTTTATCGCGCGCGTCTGAAGCGTCTGATTACCATGCAAAGTGGCCAAGTTGCGTCCCGGGAGCTTTCCGAGCCGGAATTTTTCGCGCGGGAAAACGCCTTCGCAGATTATCGCGCTCGCCGGTGCGCCTTCTAAGTATGAATTTCTTCCGTTGGCGCACTATTCGACCATGGTCAGGTAGTAGCGCGAATGTCCGATTAATATTACGATGCCGTTACGCGAATCCCGCTGTTCCTACAACTGTGCTTGGCTGCAACTTCACGAACGTCTTTTCGCGAAAACCATACTTCGGCTTGCGTCTCGAATTCGCAACGGCCAATTGCGCGCGAAATAAAGAACTGTGATCAGTAGCATGAAACTAACCGAAGGAGACAAGTAAAAGAAAAGATACAACAAAAGAAAACAGGTGGGAAAATATAAGAAAAAGAAAAGAAAGACACAAGAGAGAAGAGAGAGAGGAGATAGATAGTCTGATTAGAAATTAGAAATTTATCTCATGGCTCCCTGATCAAGCTATGAAAGAAAGAGAGAACATCTCAGTCAGTTATTTGGTTCATATAAGGCGATATTATCGGATCGTAATTATTAATAAAGCTTTAATTATTAATAATCCTTATGATTAAAGTTCTAAATGCCATATTGCGTTATATGACTTATCAGGATTTGATAAAATCAGTTTATAAAAATCTGATAACTGATTAGGATCAACCTGATCAAGACTGTGGGACAAATTTTTCGTCAGCAGATAGATATGTGGAGAGAATGTTGTGATAAAAATTACTGTAGAATTTTATATCGAGGGGTAGATCAACATTATGCAGCGATTGCCTGTTCTTTCATTTCGTATGTGCTACTTATATCTTAAGAACTGAAATATACTGTTAAAAAATTTGTTATGTTCCTAGCAAAAGTTGCTTCCTTAGAAAAATAGGCAGACTTATTGACAGTCTTTTCCCGCACTATTAGAAACAATAAAATTCAAAAACATTTATAAAAAAACTCTAATATTCTTTCCATATAGATGAATAGATTGATAAATTGATAATTGATGCTTCCTACATATATAAATGGATAGATGCTTCCTACAATAAATCCTCAAATAAATGCTTCCTACATATATAAATGGATAGATAAATGCATTATTCCTACAGAAGAGGCATTTCCTTTAAAGTCCTATCGCTGTATTATAAATTTATTATAACAGTTTAGGTTGAAATTTATCACAAGAAAAAGAAAGGAAGTAACAAAGAATATAAAGAAAAATATAAGAAAACGACCCCCTATTCGCCAGACTGTTTAGTAAATTGCTGTACTAAGGATATAATAACAAAAAAAATAACAGAAGAACTAAAAAACAAAGCAAAAATAGGAGAGAAAGATATACGGAATCTGATGTTGAGGGAGGGACCCCGTCTGTTCCGAAATTCTTCTTCGTCGAAGAGCGAAGGTTCCTAAACGCGTTCGCCACTGGCTCGGGCCAATTTTCGAGTATCCCCGGCGCGATGCAACGCGAACATCAGCCCTCCCGCGCTCTCGGCGCTCTCGCCGGTATCCCACGGGCGAGAAAATCCGGGCTCTCGCTTACTGCTCCCGGAGGAGCGCGGGATTTTGCATAATGCGTATCAGCGCGCGTTCGCCGAGATCCGGCGAGATAACGGCGGCGAATAGACAGTGTGAAATGCGCATTACGCATGCATAAATATACGCCGACGAGTCTATCTTTCTCTCTCTCTCTCTCTCTCTCTCTCTCTCTCTCTC